CAGGTGCCCCCCCAGACCCAGGAGGCACCAGTCACCAAGCCAGGGGACTGGGGTGGGGCGGGCAGGTCCCCCATGTACTCCATGGCAAACCTGGAAGTGGACCAGAAATGCTTCTGGTCCACTTCCAGGTCTGCTGCCAAGAGCGCTGGGGAGCCCTCTGTGCTCCTGTGGCACGCTGCATCTGCCCCACCACCTCAGCATTCATAATCCACCTGCTACTTTGAGGTATGGTATGTAGGAAAAAACAATTTAGAGCTGTGTCTATGTCCAAATCGCCAAATCTTTCCACATCTCTCAGCATGGTTGGACCTCTGGGAGGGCTCCCAGAGCAGCTCAGTCTCACTCAGTAGGGTTCAGCCAAACCTCCTCCAAGAAGGGGAAGAGCACCACACCTACGCCCCTTGCCCGGCAGGGGAAAGAGCCTCATCTCTCCAAGGGTTCCAATTAGATTCAGAGAGATTAAAGGGTCTCCTGATTCGATTTGGAGATTTGGCCCTATTTAGTACCACATGCCAGTAAAAGCAAGATGAATAGGCAGATAAGCATAGAAGCAATTAAGCTGTGCTGAAATCTCATCCAATGAGATTATAAAAAACAAGTGCTTGGCTTCTTAAACAACTAAGAACCCTGATAAAAGCACGACCATAGATTAACCTGAAACCGTGAGCAAAGGAAGGTCAGAACTATGGTTGTTTCCATTTTTATTATTGCCCTGTATTGCTGCTTATTTTGGCTACAAAATTTATCTTATCTTGTTTTCGATAAACCATCCCTCATATTCATTACCACATGTGCGGAACAGTTCTGTCTTTAATTCTCCTTTTGCTTCCCATATCACAGTGCATAAACTCTGTACATAACAGTTTCAGAACACTGCTGAAAGGAGACAACTGACAGTATGCCAGGATACCAAGCCACTGGGAAAAAACCAGGAAGTAGGCAGAGAGTTTACCTTAACTTGTTTCTCATGTTTTAACTTCACTGTTTCTTATATTTTACATTCTTTTCAGATTAAGAAAAAGTAGTAACTCCAATTGTTAGGTGTTGTTTACTTTTGCAAATTATAGTAAAATATAAAGGAGTTTTCATATCAACCCAGGGTGCATCTACACATTCAATCAGGGCAAAGAATTAAACTATGGCACAGTTTGCACCTGAGTTTCTCTCTCCCAGGAGCAGCATTTACACATGCACCTGGATCCACAGCATATTGAGCCAAGGTGGAGCAGCTCTGGGTGGCGGCAGCAAATGGTGGAGGGGCTGCTACAGTGTTGGGCTAGGCAGCAGATAGTTCCCGCATTGTATCACCCTCATGCCCCAGCCTGCCCTGGTCACTGTCTACACATGTGTTGCAGCAATGTAAATTACTCCACCACAGGATAGTACTTATCCTGGACAGTACTATCCTACAGCAGTGTTAAATAACTCAGTATGCCCTAATTCCAGCACAAGTGTAGACAGTGATGCTTTACTTCAGACCTAAGTAGCCAACTCCACAGTAAAGAGCATGTGAAGAAACACCCGAGTACATCTAGATTCTGCTGTTGATTACATTAAAAATATACATATTTAACAGAATTGAAATAAAGTTGCATTATTTACCTGGCAACAATGTATCTGCTGAACTGGTTAAACCCAGGAATGGTCCATTTTCAGGCCGTTTTGAATTAAATGTAGACGTGGGAGTCATTTGTGAAGCTAAAATACAATGTATGAATAATCTATTAGTTAAAGCAAATCTTAAAACAAAGTATTTAATAGTGAAAAAATACTATTTTTTCCCAAATTGTTCATTTGGAGAAAAAAAACAAACAAACTTGTGTTGACTAATTAGAAACATACAGAAATATTCCTTCAGATCTCACTTCCACAACTGTAATTATACTTAAAATCTCCATTACATACTTTGCAACTCCTATCCTGATTTGTTTACAGTTGAACTCTAAATATTTCTGAACTCAACAAGTTAAAGCGGATACTTTTCTAACCTAAAAAGTATTTTAATAAGAATGTGTCAAACTTTGGTATTACATTTAACTATGCATCAATACCTTGCCATAGTCAGAAATTCTGTAATTAAAAATGAAGGTTCTATTGCAGGATAAGTGATATGTACAACTTAAATACTTATTTTAAATGAGCTGTGATTCAAGAAATTAGATTTTATCTATCTACATCACTAGCTGTATCAATTTTATATTTTTAAAATTTCCGGAGTGACTGCTGTCCCTCAGTGGACAAAATCAAGCACAAAACTTATAAGCAAACAGATCTGTGATTTATCTGTAGTCAATACCACTTTTTGATATGCTGAATTTCCTTAAGTCAAGGCATCTGAAATGCTGAAGTCTGCCTACATTTCCACAGGGTTTGCAGTTTGGAGTCAGCCAGACTGAGTTACTTAGGTGCTTTACAAAAATCCTACCTTAATAACCTGAACATTGGCATTTGAAACTAAATCTTAGCTTCCAATTTTTGAAAGTTTTGACCTGGGTATATGAAAAAGGTTGACAACCTGGGGAAAATACTAGAAGTCTAAATGAATAACATTTTATCATTAACAGTGAAGCAACTTTCATTTCAAATGAAGCGTTATTCTGCAGCCAACAAACAGGGTTAACGAAAATAAAATGTAACCCCAAGGCTGCAAACACTTGTGCATCTACTTAACTTTAAGAACTTGAACTGTCCAAAATTTCCTCAGAGGGTTATGTGTGTAAATAAATGTAACTGCTGAAGTGTTCACAGGACACTTAAATTTTATTTATTTTTATTATTATTATTATTATTATTTTTAACTTCAAATGAAGATCTCTACTAGTAGTGACATTTGCATTTTAATTCCTTGTAAAATCATAAGTTTGTATGGTAAAATTTTAATATAAAATTTGCAATAGCATATGTTTTCAAATTTGTTTTATCCAAATGCAACCTGATTTAAACTTGGATTTTCTCTCTCAGGGGTGGAGGGCCAACACACAAATTATTTAATCAGTTATTTAAATGACTCAACCCTGTACTAGTCTATATAGGAGTAAATTAACAATATTACATTGCTTATGATTATGTGTACCTAATTCTTTTAATAGGATTTGACAGTTTATGAAAATGATAAAAGCCTCAAAGATGTATTCAATTTCTGAAAATTCCCTATTGAATTACTTTTTACTTGAACACAAGAGGGCCCTGAGGGTATTAAAAAAATAAAAAATAAATAAAAATCAATATTTAAAAAGTTCTCTCCTAACAAAACCACCAAAATCACTATGCAAAGTACTTTATATCTTTGTGTATTTTTGGTGTGAAAATGTTAATTCCCTCCCCCCACAAACAGTTCAGACAGGAAACCTGAAAAGGAAAATAATGAAGACTCCAAACTCACAAAATAGTTAATTAGCACAATTCCAATATACATATCAACTAAACCTTTGCAGTTTATTCTATCCAATCTCAGTTACACTATGACATGTGTGAGAAAGTACTTAACATAAGTATTTTATATGGAAACATTAGATTAACAACACTGGCGAGTTTTGGCAAGCTGTCAAGGGCCCCAAGGGTAGCCATGCCCCTTGACAGGTGCCCCACCACCTGGTTGCCATTTCAGTACCAGAAATCCCACCTCCTAATCCCTGACCTTTGCTACCAGAAGTCCCTCCCCTCGCCCCCAGGAAGTACTCCTTTCAGCAAGGCGGCTTGACATCTCCGAACAAGGAAAATAACAAATTATATTCTTCTAAACATCAGCTATCTACTACAACATCCATTAATTGGATTTAAAAAAAAAATACTTCTGTCCTGATTTTTATGCATCTGTATATATAGTGTATATAAAGGTGACTGCACAATAACTTAAAATGAAGTCTTACTCTTGTATATTGTGGTGGGTAGGTGGGTATAGGCTTGTTGGGGAGCTGTGGGTATGTGGGATGCAAGTGTGTGTGGGGGGTTTGTCAGGGGGTGGATAGGTGTGGGAATTGTGAATGGGTGTATGTATGTGGGGTGGGGGAGCATGTGGGTGTATGTGTAGATATGTGGGGTGTGGATGGGTATGAGGTTTGTAGGGGGATGAGTGTGTGGGGGGAGGTTGTGGCATGTGTGGAGGGGAGGGTTTGCCCACCACCCCCCTGCAGCAGGCAGAGCCCACGCCAGCACTCCTCCAAGTCTGAGTTCCACATTCCAGCTGCTTCTGGCCCCGGGGCACCGGTGTGGGCCCTGTGCTCCTGCTCACCGCCACTTCCCCCTTCTGTCTGCCCTTAGCCTGTTGCTTCCCCATCTGCCCTCCTGCTTGCTACTCGGGCACCATGTTCCAGCTACACAGCTACGACCACAGGACACAGCAGAAGCTAGCCAGCCCAACTAACACATGAAGCCAGCTGAGAATTGCAAGGGCCAGACCAGCTCCTGCTGAGTCCTGTGGCCTGGCACTCCAGCTGGGCATCACATGGTGCTGGAGCAGCATGTGGGGGGCACAGCGGAGAGGAAAAGCAGTGCTGGCAGGCAGAAAAGCGAGGAAGTGGCGGCAGCAGGCAGTGGGGGAGAGGCAGCAAGCAGACACACAGGCAGGAGTGCAAGGTTGGCGCCAGCACCGGCAGGGACCCAGAAGGGGGTGGCAGGAGTACAGGGCCCGGACCAGCAGAGGCTCTACGGAGCCAGGCTGGGATTGCGTCAGCAGGGAGAGGGGGAAGCTGGCCAGACTGGGGGCCATGCTCCTGCCAACCTGCTCTGGGCCCACACTGGTGCTGGCCTTGGTGCACTGATACAGGCCCTGTGTGCCCGTGCCTGCTCGCTGCCAATCCCCCACCATTTCTCCACTTCCCTACCTGCTGCTGCTGCTCCTCTCTGCCCACCACTCTGGCACCACGTGGCTCCCAGCTGCAGTGCCAGGACCGCAGGAGCTGGCCCAGCCCTGAGGACTGTCACAATCACCCATGGTCCTACCATTTCCCCCGCTTATCCCTTACCTGAATTTCCCTCTAGTAGAGGGAAGCAGGAACAGACCCAGGGTCACAGGTCCAGGTCCAGGTCCAGCTGTGGGTGGGGCAGGGCCGGGCAGGCCTTGCTGCTGCAGCTGCTCGGTCCTGCTGCCAGCTCCCCCGGACCCTACTGCCCCTGGTGCCTTGTCATCTTTGGCAGGCAGCCACAGGCAGATAAATATTAATTTTCTAACTTTTTTAGGGGCTCTGCCAGCTGGATAGAATGGCCTGGCAGGCTGAATCCAGCC